AATCAAGATGCATTGGCAATTAAAATGATTTAAGATATTAAGTCTTGTTTTCTAAAAAAAAAAAAATCTAAATTTTGTTAGTTTTTGCTTAAAACAAGCAAAAATATCTGCTAACGGGGTAAAAAAAATAATATTAATTAAAAATTTTCTTGCCCCATTGGCAGATATTTTTGCTTGTTTTATGCAAAAACTAACAAAATTTGTATTTATTTTTTACAGAAAACAAGATATAATATCTCAATTAATTTTACTTGCACAGTAAATGCATCTTGACTCAAGAATGTTTAGATATTTATACTAGAACACAAGACACAAACACTAAGCAAGAGAATCATTTTTTGCAGTGTAAATGCATCTTGATTTACGAATGTTTACTGGAAAACATGACAAACCATCATTTTTTTGCAGTAAAAAGTATCTTGATTTTCAGAAGACGTGTAGCATGTTTAGTCTACTTGGTAATATCTCATAATGTTTCATGAAATTAATATAATTGAAAACTGATATATTTCTGACCGTTAATGCTAATTGCCTTCAATGGAGGTGTTCTTGCTCTAAAATGTTCTGACTTTGATAAATTAATGATGAATGGGTTGACGCAGTACTTACAGATTTATGATTTTTTGATAGTTTTGTATTTTTGTAAACACAGAGATGATTTTATTTGCCTGTGAATCAACTGCAGTGTGAACGCTGATCAATATTTAAGTACAATAAATTCATTTAAATATTAAACTTTTGACTTTTAAATGCAATGACAACAGCACAGAATCATAAATTACATTATAATGCAGTCATCATGAAGATCTTACTATTTAAACAATACTATAAAGACCTGTTCACGACCAAAAAAAAAAAATTCTCAGTATTTTTTGTTTACTGCAAAAAAAAAAATTCTATTTATTTAATTTTTTTTGTTACTTTTGTTTTTTACTTGTCTTCCCAGTATAAATATCTATCTATTCTTCAATAAAAATACATTTACTTAAGAAGCAAAACGACTTGACAAGTCTTGTTTTTGGACAAATTTATCAAAATGTTATTAGTTTTTGCTTTTAAAACAAGAAGAAAAAAAACTTCCAGTGGAAAAAAACATCTTACTTTAAATGAAAAAAAAAAGAAAATTTTTCTTGCTCCATTGGCAGATATGTTTCTCGTTTCAAGCAAAAACTAACAAAATGTTTTGATCATTCTTTTAGAAAACAAGACTTATTATATTAAGTTATTTTGCTTCGTCTTGATTAAAGAATGACTAGATATTTCTATTTCTAATGACTGAGTAGGAAATACATTTTTGCATTGTTTATACCCGAAAATATGAGACTTCAAAATTCAACGGGGGAAATAAATCATTTTTCTGACCCAGTTAACAGATATTTTTTGTCTTGTTTTAATCATAAACTCAATTAATTCTAATACATCTTTTAGAAAACAAAATGTGATATCTTTAGTCATTTTGATTCATTTTGAAAATGAGACAAAAAAACTAATTTTTGCAAAACTTTAAGACTAGTTTATAGTGTTATATAGCCAAGCAAATATATTCTTAAGTAAACTTAAATGTAGTCTATTTTTACTCTACAACCTTTTGGACAGGTTTTCTTCCTTAAAACGAGTAACACACTTCCTCAGCAAAGAAAAGGAAGTATTAGAGAATAAGTTCAAACCCTTCACACACGATAACGCACTTCTCATTGTTTCCCAGAAAAAGAACAAAAACGAATCTGATTTTTACTACAAAAAAATGTGGTTGCACAATTTCAGTTCACAAATGGAAATGGAGAGAAAGAGTTGAGCGGCATTCAGCACATATTCATAATGATGGTTTTTGAACGCCTTTGAAAGACGTCCAATGCATTTATTTTTCTGATAGTAAAAATAGTGGAATAACTTCTGAAATAAATTTAAATTTAGAATGATTTCTGAAGATCATGTGACACTGAAGACTGGAGTAATGATGCTGAAAATACAGCTGCGTATCACAGAAATACATTACAGTTTAACAGATATTCACATAGAAAACAGCTGTCCTAAATTCTAATAATATTTCACAATTTTTACTGGATTTTTAATCAAATAAAAGCAGCCTTTTGAGCAAAACTCAAAAAAAAAAAAGCGTTTTCACGTTTTCAAAACACACACAAATGCATAATTATTCTCAACGTTTGACCGGTGGTGTACATTTTACTGGATCTGTGATAAAAAAAAATAAAAATAAAAATAAAATAAAATCTCTGTGCATGAATATTCAACTCTCAGGCCTTTTTTAGGAACACACAGAATCAGGTACTGTGAACCGTCTCTGCTGAACTGAAAGTCCTGGATGAATCAGGACAAAGGGGCTTCTGTAAACACAGAAAACTGTAGCACTGTGAAAAATAAAAAAACACTTCCACTTCTGTGTGACCAGAGCCAACGGTTAATGACCCGATCCTGCCACATTTACACTTCAAAACAGACTCAAGCTGCCTTTAAATGAACACAAAAGCAAATTTTTTTTGACAGCAAAAAAATCATATTTTATAAAATATATATATTTCAAAATATTTGCTAAAATATATTCACGTAAATAAATTTTCTCTAAATTTCTTGGGCTATTTTTTTAGAATATATATATATATTTTTTTATTATTTATTTTATAAGCATTCAAAAATGTTATTTATTGATTTGTATTTTTTATTCAATTTTAATATTTAAAAAAAAATTATTTAAATTAAAAAAATAATGTAAAATTTTACAATTTAATATTTCAATCTAAGAAAATACATTCACATCAGGATTATTATGGTTAAATAAAACAAAAACCATATTTAAAAAAAATAAATAAAATAAATAGGCCTAAATAAATACATGTTTGTTACTTGAAATAAAATACTAACATTTTTTTTTTGTATTTTGTTTTTATTTTAATTTTCATTCAACATTTCTCATTTTTATTAACTTTAAAATGACTAAAACTAAAATAAAAATTAATAAAAATATAAACATATTTAAAAAAAAAAAATAAAACAATAAAAATGACAAAACTACACAACAAAATTACTAACATTTTTAAATGTTAAACTATATTAAACTAATGCAAAACATCCATAAAACTATAATAGTATATTAGTATAGTACATTTTTCATTTGTATTAACTTTAAAATTACTAAAACTAAAACTGAAATAAAAATTAATACAAAATATCAACATATTTAAAAAACAACAATAAAAAATGATGATTTTATGCAAAACATCCATAAAACTATAATAGTATCTCAATGATGCTTGAAATAAAATAAACAGATATAAATAAAAAATAAAACCTTAAACTTATTTAATTTCAGCTAGTTTCCAAGGCAACATTTCTCATTTTCCACTTGATGAACTAATATAACTAAAACTGAAACTGAAATAAAAATTAATAATAACTGTTAACTAAAACTCTACCTATTTATAAACTACTAAAAATGACAAAAACACACAACTGAAATGCTAAAACCTGAACTAAAAGTAACATGACAGCAGAAAATATAAAATATTCACAAAAATAATACTGAGCTTTTGTTGTCTATATAACACGTGTGAACATAACACAAAGGAAATTTATTTTCAATGTATAAAAAATATTTTTGTATATGAAGGTTGAAACTAAATATATTTTCGATTTCAAGAATATATTTTATAGAGCTTTGCTGTTTACAACATATATATATTTAGGCCATATTTAGGGTCTCTAATATGGAGGTCGAAACCTGCAAAAACAATAAATAAATAAATAGACAAATAAATAAATAAATATGTGCATAAATACACGTATTCTTGTTTAAATACATAAATAAATAATTATACATGTGATGAAAGTAGGCAAATTAGCATGTTGTGCAGAGGAAAAATAAATGTGGAACTACATTCAGAAATAAATGAGTGATCAAAGGAAAATATTTAGGATGAGTTTAGCATTTCCTTAAACATTTTCCATTTGTCCACTAATTTATTTTATTTATTTGCCTTCATTAGTCACATGTTTAATTATTTCTGTATGTATTTAAACACGAATTTGTGTATTTATACACACATTTATTTATTTATTTGCATATTTATTTATTTATTTGTGTATTTATACACAAAATTTATGAGCTGTTGTGGGATTATTGCTCAGCATTCAACACAATAATCCCACAACAGCTCATCAATTACAGTGTTTATGTGAAGCATCCGTATAGTCTGTATTTTTTTAACTTATGTATAGGTAAACATTTATATATATATATAGTATATTTATAATCAAAATCAGTCAGTAGGTTAGTTGTGTATAGGTTTTTACTGCTTTACTGTATAGGTTTTTACTGTTTTACTTCATTGTTGTATGCCTGTATTTATGTAACACCGTGGTCCTGTGAGGCACGACATTTCGTTCCACTGTATGTCCCCACATGCAGCAGAATGACAATAAAGCTCAACTTGACTTGACTTGACTTGACTTTATTTATTTACTGTTTTTGCAGGTTTCGCCCTCCATACTCTAACTCGGTCTATATGAATGACTGCAGACTTTCACTGTCACTGTGAAGGGAAAGAGCTCAGCAGATGGTTAATGTTTAATGTATAATGTTTCTGAAGTGTATTTAAATTAATTTTTAATTGTTGTTTTCAAACCAGCAGAGACCATAAGACTAGAGCGCCCTCTATCGGACACACCTACCATCACACCATGTGAACCAATATAACTATTATTAGAATTGCGCTTAAATAGTATTCAGACGCAATCCTTGATCGTTAATTTAATCGTTAACTCATTAAAAATAATTAATATATTAATTAATATATATTAAAATAATTGTATTTTATTTAGACTATACCATTGAGGATGCACGGGGTTGGTTGGTTACATTACAACGTACTATAAAACGCAAGGTATACCGCTGATATAGGTGACGAATCCTGTCTATCTTTCAGTAAATGTTAGTAATAATAAGGTATTTCCAAATGTTAAGCGATTCCAGTTCGTGGCGGTTCTCTGTGAATCTCCCCCCTCGCGCCGAATGGTTCAGTCTCAAGATGGCGGCCTCCATCCTGCAGCGTGGTCTGTCTCCTCTGCAAACGTTCACTAAATGCGTCGATTACAGATCGATCGGTGAGTGTCAACATTTATTGTTCGTAGTCATGCTGTCGTACTAAATTCAGATCAGGATGAATGTAGAAGCGTAAGGCTTTGGTGTGTAATGTAGCCGTGTGTGAGGAGGTGAATGGCGTGATCTAGGGCTGTGCGATATTGACAAAAAATAATATCTCGATATTTTCTGGGATTTTGTGATCATTCTAAATGCATTTTAATAGACTGAATCATGCAGTGAAAGAAAACACACTAAATGCGCACACACACTAGTCTAGACTTCACGTAAGGTATGCGTGCGCTCTGTAGGGATGTTTTGAATGGTTTTTGCAAAATACTCGATAATGTCAAATCGCACATCGTTAAAACAACAATTACGATATTATCGCAGACGATATATATCACACACCCCTAGCGTGATCGCGTCTGTTTGAGTTTGCCGCGGCTTTCAGTTAATTTAAACACAGGTAGTTTTTATAATCGATTTTGTTTATAACCATGTTTTTTAGACTATGTAAATACGTTATGTGTGTTGTCGTCTGACAATTCTGTACTACTGTATGGTAATTAATTTCCACATGTTTATAGTTATTGGCTTCACTTACATTATTCGGAAGGTTTAACTGTAGTTATGCATAAGCAACACAATTATGTTTTATGTGTTCGGGAGAAATCAACTGATCTATAATCGTTATAAGTGACAGATTTTATAGATCGGTTTCGATTCACAAGCTCTTGGTTTGATCTAATATCATTAATTTGCATTTATATCAAGTACAGTTCATGTCAATCTCTACTAAAGCTGTGAACTAAGTTATATATAGTTATATATAATCAACACTGAAATAAAAGATGATTTCTGTGCAGACATTTAAGTTACACATATAGCAGTTTTTATATTATCTTTTTAGTGATATAATGGTTTCAAGATTTGTTCAAACGTACATTAAATAATGAATACATCACTAACAGGTTAAAGGCACAATATGTACGATTTTTTTTATTAAAATATCCGAAAACCACTAGAACAGTGTTATATATTTTGCTGACTTGTGTTCTTACATTATCCCAAATGTTTCGAAGAATGTTTAAATCCAGAGGAATAAGCCATTTTAACTAGTGTCACAGATAGTGTCATTGTGTCGCCTGCCAATGACGTCATAACCTCTCGATTTCTGGTTTTGTTTTGTAGAAAACATGGAAACACCAAAGACGCTTTAATATGTTGTGTGTTTTAATAGACCGGTGACGACCGCACAGAGTAGCATTATAACAGAACTAAATGTATCTCGTATGATAAAACAGCGCTGCTTTACCCCACATACGCACGACCGGAAGCAGCGGAAGCGCTCGACTGTGGCATAATAACAGCTTCTTAGCAATGCATATTACTAATCAAAAATAAGTTTTGATATATTTACGGTAGGAAATTTACAAAATATCTTCATGGAACATGATCTTAATATCCTAATGACTTTTGGCATAAAAGAAAAATCTATAATTTTGACTAGGGCTGGACAATAATTCAATATCAATATGTATCGCGATATAATTTTTTTCAATAACGGTGATATGATTTTTAAACACATTTCCGATATTTCGATATACATTACCAGTTTCCCATACATTG